GCCAGAGGTCCAGTCAAATGAAGGACAGTCACAAGTTAAATTAGTTCACTTCAGTTTAAGAAGAATATTTACATTCCAGTTCAAAATGATGTAAGATAAGAGAATAAATTTGACTTTAAACATTTAGAAGAAAGTGATTTAGACAGACTGAGACGATTACAATAGGAAGAGTCCTCCTGATGTGAACCTGAAAATGTTCAGAACATTAACCCAATCTGTCCGTCAGCCGTCGACACCCAAGGGGCTCGAGAGCAGAAATGCAGAGTTGAGTTAAAGCGGGAGGTCGTGTCAGTTCTGTCCCCTTTTAATGACTATTCAGGGAGTTCAAAGGTCATCGCTGTGACTGACATGAGGCCAAAACCAGGAAATGAAGCAACAAAGCCCTGACAAACACGCACGCACGCGCGCACACACACACACACGTTCTTAGTTCTTATTTTGACTAGTAAGGTTATGGACATTTTTACAGTCTGACCTGACTCCAAACTATCACATATTTTAATATTAAACAGCAAAACTCTTAAGTTTTCCTTATATAGTATTTGTGCTTATACAAGTTACTTGCATTAAATTATTTCAATACAAATTAAGCCTCTCCCTGGGCTGCCACCTCACCGTGATGGAGGGGTTTGAGTGTCCCAATGATCCTAGGAGCTAAGTTGTCTGAGGCTTTCTGCCTCTGGTAGGGTCACCCATGGCAAACAGGTCCTAGGTGAGGGATCAGACAAAGAACAGCCCGAAGACCTCTTATGATGAATTATATAAATGGAAACTGTGTTCCCTCGCCCGGACGTGGGTCACCGGGACCCCCCCTCTGGAGCCAGGCCTGGAGGTGGGGCACGTTGGCGACCGCCTGGTGGCCGGGCTTTCACCCATGGAGCACGGCGGGCACAGCCCGAAGAGGAAATGTGGGTCCCCCTTCCCATGGGCTCACCACTCGTGGGAGGGGCCAAAGGGGTCGTGTGCAGTGTGTGATGGGTGGTAGTCGAGGGCGGGGACCTTGGCGGTCTGATCCTCGGCAACAGAAGCTGGCTCTTGGCATATGGAATGTCACTTCTCTGGCTCTGGCACCAGTTTCCTTGAGAGGGGTTGGACTTCTACCACTCTGGAGTTACTCCCACTGAGAGGCGCCAAGCAGGGGTGGGCATACCAGTTGCCCCCCATCTTGGTGCCTGTACGTTGGTTTTTACCCCAGTGAATGAGAGGGTAGCCTCCCTCTGCCTACGTGTGGGGGGACGGGTTCTGACTGTGGTCTGTGCTTATGCACCAAACTACAGTTCAGACTACCCACCCTTTTTGGAGACCTTGGAGAGGGTGCTGGAAAGCGCTCCTTCCGGTGACTCCCTCGTTCTGCTGGGGGACTTTAACGCTCACGTGGGCAACGACAGTGAGACCTGGAGAGGTGTGGTTGGGAGGAATGGCCCCCCGATCTGAATTCGAGTGGTGTTTTGTTATTGGACTTCTTTGCCCGTCATGGATTGTCCATAATGAACACCATGTTCAGACACAAAGGTGTCCATATGTGCTCTTAGCACCAGGATACCTTAGGCCACAGCTCGACTCTGTTGTTGTTTCATCTGACCTGCGGCTGCATGTCTTGGACACTCGGGTGAAAAGAGGGGCGGAGCTGTCAACTGGTGGTGAGTTGGCTCAGATGGTGGGGGAGGCTGCCGGGCAGACCAATCAGGCCCAAACATATCACGAGGGTCTGCTGGGAACGTCTGGCAGAGTCTCCTGTCAGAAGGAGCTTCAATTCCCACCTCCGACAGAACTTCCAAAATGTTCCGGGGGAGGCAGGGGACATTTTGTCTGAAATAACCCTGTTCCGTGCCTCCATTGTTGAGGCGGCCGACCAGAGCTGTGGTCGCAAGATCGTTGGTGCCTGTCGTGGTGGCAACCCCCGAACCCACTGGTGTACACCGGCGGTTAGGGATGCTGTCAAGCTGAAGAAAGAGTCCTATCAGGTCTTTTTGGCCTGTGGGACTCCAGAGGTAGCTATCGGGTACCGGCAGTCCAAGCGGAATGCAGCTCGGGTGGTCGCCAATGCAAAAACGCAGGCATGGGAGGAGTTCGGTGAGACCATGGAGCAAGACTTCCGTACGGCTTTGAGGAGATTCTGGTCCACCATCCGGTGCCTCAGGGGGGGAAAGCAGTGCGCTACCAACACTATCTATAGTGGGGACGGTGTGTTGCTGACCTCTACTCAGGACGTTGTGGATCAGTGGGCAGAATACTTCGAAGACCTCCTCAATCCCACCGACACATCTTCCAGTGAGGAAGCAGAGTCTGGGGAGTTTGGGGTGGCCTCTCAAATCTCTGGTGCTGAGGTCACTGAGGTGGTTAAAAAGCTCGTCTGTAGCAAGGCTCCGGGGATGGATGAGATCCACCCGGAGTTCCTTAAGGCTCTGGATGTTGTGGGGCTGTGTTGGCTGACGCGGCTCTGCAATAACGCGTGGACATCGGGGGCAGTCCCACTGGATTGGCAGACCGGGGTGGTGGTCCCCTTATTTAAAAAGGGGGACCGCAGGGTGTGTTCCAAATACAGGGGGATCACACTATTGAGCCTAACTGGTAAGGTCTATTCAGGGGTTCTGGAGAGGAGGGTCCGTCAGATTGTTGAACCTCAAATTCAGAAGCAATGTGGTTTTCGTCCTGGCCGTGGAACACAGGGCCAGCGCTATACCCTTAGGGGGATCCTGGAGGGTGAGTGGGAATTTGCCCAACCAGTCTACATGTGTTTTGTGGATTTGGAGAAGGCGTTTGACCGTGTCCCTCGGGGGGCCCTGTGGGGGGTTCTCTGGGAGTATGGGGTAGCAGGCCCTCTGACACGGGCTGTTAGGTCCCTGTATGACCGGTGTTAGAGCTTGGTCCGCATTGCTGGCAGTAAGTCGGGCTCGTTCCCAGTGAGAGTTGGACTCCGCCAAGGCTGCCCTTTGTCACTGATTCTGTTCATAATCTTTATGGACAGGATTTCTAGGCGCAGCCAAGGTGTGGAGGGCATCCGTTTTGGTGGCCTGAGGATCAGGTCTCTGCTTTTTGCAGATGATGTGGTCCTGTTGGCTTCATCAGAACGTGATCTTCAGCTTTCGCTGGAGCGGTTTGCAGCAGAGTGTGAAGCAGCTGGGATGAGAATCAGCTCCTCTGAATCTGAGACCATGGTCTTGATTCGGAAAAGGGTAGAATGCCTTCTCCGGGCCAGGGATGAGGTCCTGCCCCAAGTGGAGGAGTTTAAGTATCTCGGGGTCTTTTTCACGAGTGAGGGAAAACTGGAGCGTGAGATCGATAGATGGATTGGTGCTGCACCTGCAGTGATGTGGGCATTGTACCGGTCTGTCGTGGTGAAGAGAGAGCTGAGTCAGAAGGCGAAGCTCTCGATTTACCGGTCGATCTACGTTCCAACCCTCACCTATGGCCATGAGCTTTGGGTAGTGACCGAAAGAACGAGATCACATACAAGCGGCCGAAATGAGTTTTCTCCGAAGAGTGGCTGGGCTCTCCCTTAGATACAGGGTGAGAAGCTCGGTCATTCAGGAGGGGTTCGGAGTAGACCCGCTGCTCCTCCACATCGAGAGGAGCCAGTTGAAGTGGCTCGGGCATCTGGTCAGGATGCCTCCTGGATGCCTCCCTGGTGAGGTTTTCCAGGCACGTCCAACCGGGAGGAGACCTAAAGGTAGACCCAGGACACGGTGGAGGGACTATGTCTCTCACCTGGCCTGGGAACGCCTTGGGATTCCCCCGGAGGAGCTGGCCCAAGTGGCAGGGGAGAGGGAAGTCTGGGCCTCTCGCCTTGGGCTACTGCCCCCGCGACCCGACTCCGGATAAGCTGATGAAAATGGATGGATGGATGGATATTTCTTTTGTAAATTGCAATAGGTGTTTCCATTCTCAAGAATGTAATATTAAATTGGCTTAAAGCACATATGCACACATCACCAGGGCTAATTTACTAATTACCTGCAGCTCCCTGGTGGCTTACATCATAATTGCAGATTGTGCAAAATGCATGGTGAGGTTTTTTCAAGGGTCACAAGCATGGCCACTGTTATTGATATTTGGACAAAAACTTCTGAGACACATGGACCCTCTTCTTGTTGGCAGGTCTGCTAACCAATCCCTCCCTTTCTGCTTCTCCCTCATCTGCCATAGCATGAGTTGAAAAACGAGCTGCGAAATAATAAATAATGGCTGCATGTTTAAACTGTATAAATAATCACATTCCTCCTTATATACAGGCCAAATCTATCTGTAATGGATAAAGGCAAACACACACACACACACACACACACTTTTTGTTGACAGCCTGAAGGAAACCAACACATGTGGACTTGTGTTGCTTCAGCCTCACATGGTGGTGAAGCAGCTCGTGAACGGTTTTAAACTGACGGTTTACTCACTTTGCAGAAGAGACGATGAGGGACGAGTCTTTGTAGGCAATCAGGTAGCTCTGGTTCTCTGGGTTGTGGACCGTCACCTGAATATAAACTGTGTGGTCAGGTCATTGGTTCTTCAGACTAATCCCAGCGAACGTCACATGTGATCCAACATTACACTTTAGGGTCTAAATGTTAAACATGATCTGCTGTTGGTACCTGATGAGAGTCTAAATGTGTTTGACAGTCTGACTTCTATCTGCTGTGTTCCACTTACACTCTCCAGCACCCGTAAACACCGTTCAGCTCCCCACAGCGACGACACCAGCTTCTCCTCCTCATCCTCCTGGTTTAGGTTATCTACACACTCCTTCACTGTGAAGAAAGAACACTTCAAACACCAGAAACACTCAGAAAGCATAGGAAGTAGCAGCTTCCCTCCCCCAGTAAACACCTTTATCCACTATGTGGTCCAGTCCTCCCAGCAGCCGCAGCTCCTCTTTGAACCAATCTCCTGCTCGTTTTGAGGTCAGGGAAAGCAGCGTCTCCATGGCTAAATGACCTGTCTGAAGGCAGAGAAAGAAAGGTAAAGATTGTCTTTACTTTGGGTTTTAAGGTCTACGACACAAACACCTGCTTTCTTTTCCTCTGCTCCAGCACTGCTGCTGAAAGTATCCTGAAAGATGAGGGTGTTGTGAGTCATCCTGACTAAGGAGCTACTCGGTTTAAAACAATACTAGTCTAAAAAATCATCTGAAAATACCGAATCCATAAAGTTCTGACAAGGAGTGTTCTTTTTGAATGAAAAACTGGACTTCTAGCTGTGTGTACCGTTATGTTCTGTAGGTCCAGGTGTTTGTTGTGGACAGTGTCGCACAGTTTCCTGATCTTCTCCTTAATCTTGGCGAGCTCTCTGGCACTGAACTGGACGGTGGAGTCAGCCCCGGCCCCGCTTCCTTGATCCTGATCCAGTTCTAGCAGGCGGATCATCAGGTCCAGACAAGACCGATCCAGGTCCATATTCAGCCGATCTCGGCTCAGGATATACATTAGAGAGGCTGTGCACAGGGCCAAGTTCTGCAAAGAGACAAAGTCAAGATGAGGGGAAGATTTCTGCTGAAACCTGTCAACAAGCAGGAAACAGAAGAGAGGGGCTTATGAAAACCCGTCCTGAACCAGGATCTGAAAAATTATCCATCCTTCATCTGGTCCGAGGTGAACCAGCAACACTTTGTTTTTCTGTCATTATTGTGCAACTGTGTGTGTGTGTGTGTGTTCGTTACCGGGTGTTGTGGGGCGTCGTTTAGCGTTTTGAAGACCTGGGCTACCTTCCCTCTGGCCCTGAGGTGCATCCTGAAGCTAGGCATGGCACAGCGGGAAGCCAGGCTGATCACACTGAAGAGACCCAGCACAACAAAACTGACATAAACAACCTGCTACTTTATTAAGCAGGAGGGAAAAAGTCCAAACATAAACCCTAATGACTGCGTTTTCTCACCTAAGGCATCGTGTGTTTAGTGGCTGTCCACTCTTCAGACCAGTAGCGAGGTACTCAAAGTCATCCGTAAACTCCTGGTTCTCTCCAAACTCCACCACGTCGTTAAAGTGTTTCACATGCTGGACGACGGTGTACAGCTGGAGAACACAAAGGAGAGGGGAGATGAGCGCAAACACAAGGAGAAAAATGTTCTACAGGTCTATTACTACCAAGAGAAACGTGTGTGTGTGTGTGTGTGTGTGTGTGTGTGTGTGTGTGTGTGTGTGTGTGTGTGTGTGTACTTGACTTTTATAATCTTTCACTGAAAGATGTTTTAAAGGGACTTTTTGGACTTTTGAATTTTTATGCGCGCGATTGCCCCCTCAGGCCAAAAGCGTAACGGCAGCTTCAATAGTAGGCTCGTGCACGAGGCGCGCATGCTGTACGTGCACACTCCTTAACGAAAATAACAGCTGAGACAGTCCCGTGTGTGTGTGTGGTGTGTGGTGTGTGGTGTGTGTGTGTGTGTGTGTGTGTGTGTGTGTGTGTGTGTGTGCGTGCGTGCGTGCGTGCGTGCGTGTGTGTGTGTGTGTGTGTGGCCCGGAGGACAGAGGACAGGAGAACACGCAGCTAATTAATTAAATAATTTGGTTCTGTACCTTTCTCTTCAGCACAGCCGACAAAGGTTTAAGATGGGTCAGTCTTCCTGCATGCTCAGATCATTCCCTTCCCTTGCTTGAAAAATTGTTCCAAAATGAAAGTTGAACCCACATCTTTTTTATCTGTGAATTCAATGCCTTTCGGCGAGTCTCAAATACAAATTTGGGTGTCTTATTATTGTAAAAAAATATATCAGTAATGTAAAAAAGAAACTTAATATGGCAAGTTATTTTCACAACCAGAGTCGAACCCAGGTCTTCTGCATGAGAGTCAGACATCTTACAAGATGAGACACACAACAGTAACATTTGAAGTATCTGTAACGTTTATATCCTTGATGACAGCTGAAACAACGTCAATCCAAAGAACGGTTCGGAGCAAAAATGGCTATTTTGTTGCTAATCTGCAGGAAATAGAAGAAAGTTCTACAGAAAGTAGCTAAGGGTCCTCAGAAATGTAGCTAAGTTTGTCACTAGGTGTTAGGAACAGCGACAAAGTCCCTGAGTTGGCACTGCCTCTCTCTCTGCTGCTAAAGCTACAGATAGCAAATGCTACGGGCTATGTCTGAGCATGAACGTGCATGAAGCAGCCTGCTCGACCCGAGCAGCTCTCTTTTTCTGTGATTTTACAGAAAAACTGGCAATCACAGTAAAAATGCCAGGGCTCATTCTACAGGACCAGGGCACTGCAGGAGAATGTATGAAGAAGGCATTTATTATTTCTATACATGTTTCGGCTGTCAAACTTCCATAACATCCCTTTAACTTAAGCACTTCAGAGAAAACATTACATGCTGGGTACTCTTAGCAGCGTATCTGGTCTCTGTACCATGTTGTCTCTGAAACTGAAGTGATGCATTCTGGGACTTCTTATTGGTGAGGATGCAACAGACATGTTTAAGAAGAGAGCAGGAAGGTTTACCTCCTTGTGTTCTCTATGACACTTGAGTGCAGTGATGGTGTCCTGGCAGGGGTCAGTGGGGACGGTAACACA